TATATATATATTTTAAGTTTTATTATTGTTTAAAATATTACAGATGTCCCTTTTTCTCCCCAATGACCCGTTCCACCCCGTTCCTTCCCCCTCCCCGTCACAGGGATATTAAAGTACAGACTGCATAGGGAATATAGTCAGTGATATTATAATAACTATATATGGTGTTAGGTGAGTACAAGATCTATCAGGGGGATCACTTTGTAAAGTACAGTATATGATTGTCTAACTACTATGCTGTACACTTGAAACTAATACAAAATAAGACTGAATGTAACCTATAATTGAAAAATAAAAAATAAACTTATGAGTCATTAAAAATAATCAGACACTTGGAAAAATCTAAAAAGAAATTACTCATTTGACAATCCTATGATTGTTCTAAGGGGCTTAGGGACAGTAGTAGTCTGAGTTACAGCTGTGTTTACACAAGACTTTTAGTGAAAACACCAATTGCCTGTATCAAAGAGTCAGAACACTCTAGGTGTACTGAACATCCCCATGTTTTCATGCCTCTGTGCCTTTGGAGATGCTAAGGATTTTTTCTTCTGTATCTATCTCCTTCTCAGGCTCATTCACAGCTTTATCCCAGTGCCCAGCACATGGAGGTTAAATAATTCACTAGTAAAGAAGTTACCTGTCTTAGGCAGTCAGATTTAGTTTATCTGCAGATACAATTAAGAAAATATATTTTAAACTTACCAGCAAGCTTTTCCTAGCTCAGAGAGGGAGCTTTGTAAATGAGGTCCTATGAAGAATGATGACACCAAGGTCTTTTATAGAACTTAAAATTCTAGGACTAGGTTAGTTTAGGGTAGTTTAAAAACTACACTTGTATAGTGCTTTATAGAACCTCTCTCAAATTACACCACTTCTGCCCGGCTGGGCGTGGCTCAGTGGTTGAGCATCGACCTAGGATCCAGGCGATTGGGGTTCGATTCCTGGTCGGGGCACATGCCCGGGTTGCGGGCTCGATCAATGACTCTCTCATCATTGATGTTTCTATCTCTCTCTCTCCCTTTACTTTCCTCTCTCTGAAATCAATGAAGATATATAAAAAAAATAAAATAAAAAAATTACACCACTTCAGGTTTTCTGTATTTTAAAACCAATGCATAAGATCCTATATTTATCCCTGTTAAATGTCAACTAGCTGGATTCCAGCCTGTAAAGAAACATCTGTTCAGATTCTAATTTTGTCACTGAACTTTGCTATCCCAGCTCTGTGGCATCCTTGTTTAACCAGCCAAGAGTGATGGTAATCTCTCCCTGGCATGGAGGCCACTAGCAGGCCTCAAGCAAGAGAAGCAGCAGAAGAAAATGTAGAAGAGACTGAATACAGTAGATTGGGTAAAGCAGCAGGGAAATAAATATGGGAAGACCAGGGGAAGCAAAGAAATACTTATAGGATGACAACTATAGCCCCAGGAGGATAGTAATAAACAATACTGTCAAATAGATGCTGTGATCTGTATGTGATCCTAAAAGAAAGATCTTCAAACTGTTACAAAAGCAAAAGGCAGAAGAATATTCATAGTAGGATCCTTTTAATAATTTTTTGAAAAATACATTGGTGTCTACTGGGGAGAGAAACCCAGTGTTTGAACAGGAAAACTTTAATTTTAATTTATACTTTCTGTATGGGGCCATTCCCCTATGTATATGCATCACTTGAAAGTCTGTTCCAGACAGACTTTTGCCCCAGCTACAGAATGCTTAAGAACTGGTGGAGAGGAACATTGATAAAGATTCTCCTAGGACTTGATAACTCTTTCAACCCAATTAACTCAAAAAATACTGGGAATCTTATGAAGTTTGGGGATTTTGAACATTTAAACATGTTAGATAGTGATGATTTGTTTTTCCAAGGAACTCCTATTAAAATTCATTTAACATTTGGTCACTTACCATGTCACTGTTGTGGGCACTCTCACAAAGGCTCACCCTCCCACACACCCTCAGTGAGAAGGTGGTTACTTTCCTCACTCTGTAAATAAGAAAGTCAAAAGGTAAATGACTGGCTCCGTATCTTTTTCCAGAACAAGGATCATAAGTCTGCCAATAGGCAACATTTCACAGCTTACACAAGACCTTTAAAAAAGTTTTACACAGGTGTACAACAATTTTAGGACATAATGAGCCTACTATTGTTTGTTTCAGTATGTCAAAAACCATTTCACAAAATGAGATGGCTACAAACATATACTGGGCTGTGGGTACAGTGTCCCCTTTCAGACTGACTTCCCAGGGGCCTCTACAGCAGACACAGGTGCTCATGAACTGCTTTCAGTTCAAGCTCAACCTACTCCTTAGAGTTCTGCCTTCCCTACTAACATGTAAAAGGCTTCAAATATCAATCTCTTTCTTTAATTATGAATAATGACCAACATCTAGATGACTGGTTCAACCCAGCTGCATGTGAGACTCTCCTGACAAGAATGCCAAAGTCCCACTCTCACCTCTTAGGAATTCTGATTTAACATTTGATGTAGGTGTCTGCCTAGGTGTTTTTTATTTTTAAAAAATATTTTAAATCCTCACCAGAGGATATTTTTTCCATTGCTTTTCCGAGAGAGAGAGAAACATCAATATAAGAGAGAGACATCGATTGGTTGCCTCCCACATGTACCCAGACCAGGGCCAGGGATCCAGCATACAACCGAGGTAGATGCCCTTGGCCGGAATTGACCCCAGGCTCATGCAGAAGAGGTGCCTACAAATGAGACTAGAGTATGGGCACAGAAGGAGGAGAAACCCTGGGGGACTGTGGTACCACCAAAAGCAGCAGAGAAAGGTCCTGAGGAGGCAATAAAGTGCAGTGTCAAATATAGCTGGAAAGCCATGGAAGATGTTTGTGATGCTGGGGTTTGAGTTTATTTTTTATAGCAGGGAGTCAAACTATAGGCTGTTTTTGTATGGCCCAATTAAAAATGGGTTTTACATTTTTAGAATGTCAAACAAAAAAGGAAGAATATGTAACAGTATGTGGCCCTCAAAGCTGAATATATATACTATCTGGTTCTTTACCAAAAAAAAAAAAGTTTGCATGATGACTTGTGACCTTGGCAAGAACAGACACAGGGGAACAGTGGGGACAAAAAACAGACTGGGGGTTACTGAGGAACATAAGGGAAGTGATGGAGAGAGAACGCAATTCTTTCCAGATGTCTGGCCGTGAAGGTAAGAAAGAGCTTCAAGGGGACAAGGGAGAGGGAAGAGTCTGCTGTAAAGATGGAAGAGATATGAGCACGGTTAAACAAAAACAGGAAAAAATCACCAAAAGGAAATGGATAAAAATGAGAGAGAGAAGATGCTACTGAGCAAGGCCCTGTTAAAGGGGGAAGGATGTCAGATCTAGAACACAGACAAGAGAAAGAACCCCACTTAAGGGGGAAAGGCAGGAAATGGCAACTGCAGACAGGTTTGTAAGGCTGCATGCATGAAAGTAAGCAACACCTCAGTTTACACCTTCTGTTTCTCCAATCATCTGCTGGCAGCAAGAGGGAGTGGCAGGGTCAGGGATTTCAGAAAAAGGCAGAAGTTCTGAAACATCTGTAGGGAAGGGAGATTGTTGAGACTAGAGAAACAAGGAGAGCAGTGCAGCCTCAGCACTTGCTTGATCAGTGCTAGAATCCGGAACCCATAGATTTCCATTCACATGGCTTGTGTGCCACAGCCACAAATACTTCCCAGATAATAGAATATATTCCTTCAAGGCACTACGAACTTTGATGGGAATTTAAAATGCCTTACTGCTTACCGGCCTTTTGAAGACAACAGATTTAGACAGTGCCTAAATCTGCTTTTGGTGTCAGACACCCGGATTAGAACCCAAGCTCTGTCACTTACTGTGTAATTTACTTGAATTACTTTGCCTCAGTTATCAAGAGGATTAAATGAAATGAGATTTATAAAGTACATAGTATAGTGGTCAGCAAGAGAAATGACTCAACAAATAACTATATTTTTATAATTATAATAAGCTGCAGTAGTAGTATTTTGCTAGTCCCAACTAACAGGCAACAGGCTCAATTTAGCGGTAGAATGGAGCCCCAAAAGGAGGTAATTACTGTTCAGAAGACTTCCGCCTCTACACGACCCGTCCCCCCGTCCCCTCCGCCCACTGTCGCCGCAGAATAACCGTTTCCCCGACCAGCACACCTGGCGGTCCGCAGGCGCGGCCATCGCGTCCTGACCCAGAGCCGCCCGCCCCAGCCCACCGGGCTCTGCGCCGTCTCCGCCCGGGTCAGGTTGAGGGGCGGGGGCGGGCCAGCGGCGAGCCCAGGTCCCCAGGGAGACCGCGGGCGCGGCTGACAGGACGGA